GGGGGGGGCGGGGAGGATGTTCTGGCGGTTTTTCGGCTCCAGGCATTGTGTGGTGACAATTTTTCGTACTCTCCATCTCCCTATTTTTGAGGTGCCAGTTTGCTCAGGGAGCAGGGCAGGAGTCTTGCTTGTGTATAAGCAGTTCAGGAACTTGCAGAAACTACAGATGCTTTTAAGTTTTGAGAGGCTGAAATAGCTAGTTTTGAGAGCTGGTTTTACAAGCACCTTGTATTACTGCTGTGTAATTTTGGAGTGGTTGGCCTTAGTAACAGGGTGAGGATTCATACAACTGGAGGATTGTAAAGTGTTTCTGATTATGTAGTAAACATAATTTTACAGAAGGATGAACAGAAACAACTTTGAGCCAATGGAGAGCCAAAGGGGTTTGAAAATTATCACTTGCCCTGAATTTCTTTCAAATTATTTCCCTACAAATTTTTATTGATTCTGAAAATCAGAAATGAAAAGAAGTTCTTAGTTCATATATCCCAAGTGTGGGACTGGTGCTCTGTTGTTTTTTCTTTGTGGAGTCTGTCAACATTTTTAAGAGACTGGGGATAGGACTTTGTGGGGAAAAAAACTAAAGGAAGGAGGGGAAAGTTCTCCCCTTATGTCCTTTATTCCAGATCTTCCTTTTATTTAATGATCTAATCTATAGCTGTGTTATACCGAGCTGCTGGAGAGAGACTGTCTTCCTCCTCCTGCCTTCTGTCAGAGTTCATCTATGGATGTGCAGAAGGAATTGCTGTATGGAAACTGGAAAACCCATAAAAGGATGGATGCACAGCATTTCCCTGTCTGGCAGATACAGCCTGTACTATAAAATCCAGGATTGCAAGGTTCCCTCCGTGTGTGTTTGTACCGAGTTGTGTTAGGGGTGCTGAATAAGCCAGATATAAGCACATTTTCGTGGCGCTGTTTTTTCTTTCTTTTTAGATGATACCTGCACTGTAAGACCTGACTTGACCCGAAATCATGGCTTTATAGTCAGGTGGTTGCTGCTCACTAGGACTGCTTTGGAATAACCAGTCGTGAAGTGAAAAGCTATGCATCCTAGTATTGTCTCCTAGCGGCACCCTGCAGCTACCTTCTCCAGCAAGACTGTCAACTGAGAATTAACGAATACTATAGTGAGTGTTTGAGATTCATCAGAGGAAGCCAAAAAAAAAAAAAGGGAAGAAAAAGGGAGGGGGATATAATCCCAGCAAGCTGTACTAGGGCATTGACTGCTGTGCTTCTGAGCCCCATCCTTCCCAAGTCAGGTATGAGTGGGTTCTCCTCAGCGTAGTGCACTAGGATCTCTTCCAGTCTCCTGCAGCTTCCCATCCAGTCCATAGGGATAAAATTTCCTCCCTAAGGCCCTGCAAAAGGAGTTGGTCAGGGGGGTGGATTTCCTGGCACTCCCCCCCCACACACACACTTCAGTGCCTTATTAGCCTCAGAGCCAGGTCAATTGGTATAGTTGGCAGGTTACTACACAACAGTTTTTATTTTCCCCTCTAGCTCTCATGGCGTGCCACACTTGAGCAAAGCTGATGTCCCAGGAATTACGCTGTAGCACCGTGGAGCTGCTGTGGTGTTGAACAGTCAAGTCGTTTTATCTTTCAGAATGTGCTTTTTTCCTTTGGAACATGGAAGCATCTATTTTTTTATGAAGTCTGTCCCTTTTGATAAGCTCTCTTCAGCTCAGGCACTTATCCCCGGGACGGTAGAGTTTGAATGTTACAGCTATGAATTTTTTTATAAATGTATATAAAGGCTCAATTCAGATGCTTCAACTAGTTTTCAGAAAGCCTGGTAGCAGTTTAATTTGCTATGGCTATAGTGAGTTCGATTTTTAATTGATTTTTTTGATGTGCACTGCTTTTAGTTCTGTTTAAGTTATTGCAACTGGTGTTAAGGTTTTTAGCCTCACTGTTTTTGAAGCTGGAGGGGACAATTATGTTAATACCAGGATCTTCAATGCTGATGTGTAATATTTATAGCCACCTGTAGATGGTGATATGCTCCACTCCATGCCTTGGCGGTGACGGATCCCGCTCCCCATCCACCTGAACGAGTGAATTGCCAGACCGGATGAATTGCATTTAGTGTCTGTCTTGTTTTTATTTTTCTGAGCAAGTGGGATAGCCTTGAAATTCTTTCCATGTCCAAAGCATCTTGGCCTCCTCTCAGTTCGGTAAGTTGTGGGCTGACTTGTCCTGATACTCAGTAACTTCTAGTGGTGTTAGTCTCTTACAGTAAGCCAGCAGTGGGTGCAGCTGAAGGTAGAATGCAAGTTATATGGGGCTTATCCACTTTTCACCTCCCCCCACAGCTGCGTTTGTGTGTGTACCTGTTTCCAAAATCAAAGCCAGGCTTTGCATGGGATCCTAGTATCTCCTGCCAAAGCACGGGCAGCCGGCCCTAACGACCACACTTGCTGCTTCCCTCTACGGGAGGGGGTTTACAGCTTGTTGGAGAAAGCTGGTTGTCGGTGGTGAGCTCAGTGGCGGTAATGAGTTGTACCTCAGTTGTCGTACGTGATTTCACGGTGGTTCTGTGCTGATCTGAAGCTTTTTTTTTTTTTTTTTTTCCTGGCTGCTTGAGCGGAGCCCACCCTGCCTGCCTTAGAGTTTGGATGTACCGGTGCACGAAGATGCGCTGATGCGAACGGCGGCGCTTCCCAGGGTCGATGAGGAACGACACGCGTCCCGTGTCACACAGCGAGCCCGTCCCAGAGCCAGCAACAAAAGCGTTTGTCCTAGACCTTTGACCGAATTGCTGAACTGACCTTCTAGCACAGCAGGCAGCGAACGCACCCCGGGCAGCACAGCGCAGCTGCCTGCGCTGCCGCTCCGGCTCGTCCACTGCCTCCCGCTCCCTTGGTTACTTCGGCCTCCCCTTGGAAGCGGCCCCGATGACCGACGACCGCCCACGCCTCTCGCGTTCGCGGCAGCGAAACTTCAGCTGAGCCGCTGGGCTGCTTCAAAACCGGATTAGTTGCCTTCCCCGGGCGCCTCCCGGCCGAGAGAAGCCGGTCGGCAGGAGCCGGGGAGGAGAGGACGGGGTCCGAGTTTTGCGCAGGACAGAGACCGGAGGGGTACCCGGTGCCTCCTGCCGGGAGCGGGGCCGGGGTTTTGCAGCG